ATCGCTCCCATGCAGCACCGCGGGATCAGCGCGTAGGGTTTGGGGTGATGGAGGTACGAGGCTCCCCAGGACCCCATTCCCACCTCCTCCCAGTGGTGCTGGGATGTGAGATCACCGCCATCACTCGGGGCAATGGGAAACCCACCCCAGCTCTGCGCCACGGCCACGTGCACGTGGAGCACTGAGCTCAGCGCCCGTGATTTACTGCGGGTGTGAGGTGAGCTCCGCGCGGGGCGCGATGCATCCGTCAGCTCCACGCACAAAGGGTCATCATTATCTCAGCCCCAGCGCCCGTCTGTTCAGCACGTTGCTCCAAGTAAGAGCGGCGTGACTTCCAGTTAGCAACGGCTTATTTGTCTTATGGAGGAAGGACGTGCTAAAGGCTTCGTGGTGCAGCTGTGCCCCTGCCCGTGGATTTCGGTGCTCTGTTGCTCAGACCCCGCATCCTCCGTGCACCAACAGTGTGCAGAGCCCCGCTTTGTTCCCCCGCTCCTCTGCACCGCTTCCAGGTGGAGTTATGAAAACACACAATGCCGTTTCCTTCTCCTGGATCCCAGCAGCTTTTTCCATCCAGCACACGATCCAGGAAATTCTCTTCTATACCTTTGAGGAGTTACCACGATGATCTGGAACGCGTTACTTGCACACAGCAAATGCAAATTAATGTAGTCTTCACATTTCGCCGTGGCAATAAAGGGGAATGTTGACATCAGCCTGAAAGTAGAATTAGCTTTTGCATTATGTGGTGTGAGAGTGAGGTGTTGAAACCCATGCACGAAACTTTCCAAGTTACAGTAAAGCACTGTTCTGGCAGCAGCGCAGCAGCAGTGCCGCTCCAGCAGGCAGGGCTTTGCTGAGTGCTCCCTCTGTTCAGCTGTGCTCTGGCTGGTGCTGGGCTCACAGGGCTCTGCCATTTTGTCTGCTCACCTCTCACGTGCTCCTTGTTTTACTGCAAGCTCATCTCCTTAAGAAGTGGGAGTTACAGCGCTGTCAGGCTCTGCTTCTCTCTGATAAAGGGTCCGTTCTGCTCCCAGCAGCGCCGGCCCCTCCTGCCCTAATCCCTCCAACACCCATTTCACCGCAGCACAGAGCTCCATCTCAGCCCTTTGAGCCGGAGCAGATGGGGCTGCAGGATGGATCCTGCCAGCAGCCCCCGTCCGTAGCAGCTCCCAGACTGCTCTGTGCTGGTGCTAAGGGGCGAAGCTGAGAGCTGTATTGATCACTGCTGCAGTGCATGGGCACTCACCGAGCGCTTGCCGAGCTCTCAAATCCTGCAGTGAGCAGAAAACCTGGCGTGGAGTGTCCTGGCAAAGACACCCCAGGATGCTGTGACCCCTTGTCCCCCTGTACCCAGCGGGGACACCAGTATGCAACCCCAATACCAATGCACATTGTCAGAGCTCAGAGCACATCCCTGGTACCCAGTGCACATCATCAGTACCAGTGCACACCCTGAGTGCCCACTGCACACCGCTGGTGCCAACATGCATGGGATGGGGAGGTGGGACTCTGCCCCGTGCAGCCGTTGGGCAGTTTCTTGCAGAAGCAGCTCAGCTCCATCACTGCCAGCAGCGTGCTGGGGGTGAGGTGCGGCCATTTGGCTAATTACAGCGGGAGTATTTTCTGCAGACGTTGATGGAGAGCAGTGGCCCAGAGATCAGCAGCGAAACTGAGCACAGAGGGCGAGAGCGAGACACGAACAGGGACGGGCTCGCCGGGTCAAGTAGGCTCTGCTCGCCCGGCAATTATCTCCTGTCCTCCTCTCTGCTCGGAGCTTTGAGCTGAGGGGTGAATTAGCTGGTGCGATTTGAGTTAACCCCTTGTTTGCCGCTGGCCTTGCGGCTGGCTGCACGCACCAGGCGCATCGTTAGGCGCCATCGTATTCCAAGTCCTTCTCATGTAACTACTCCTCCGCCTTTGAAGCAGCCCTGTCCTGCAGCAAGGTCTGGTTTTATCAGTGCACTGAGTTATTGCTGCTGGATCTTGCTGCTGGTGGCTGCCTGCACAGAGCTGGTGGACAAAAGGGAAGAGTTTGGAAGAGGAGCCCTGGATGGGCCGGCGTGCGCAGGGCCAGGTGCCAGCTGCAGGCTGCCTGGGGAAAACTTTTCTTCATAAAGAGCTGTTTTGTTTCACGGCCGTGAAGGCCATCGGTGCTGTTGTTCAGCATGCAGCAGATGAAACAGGTCATTCTGGGAGACCCTCGGGAAGGAGCAGCACACGGTCACAGCTGAGCAGAGCAGCACAGCCATGGGACCACCAGCAGCACAGGGTCCTGTGCCAAGAACTGCTGGGTGCTGCAGGGAGGGCAGGGATTCGTGCTGTGGCCTCTCAGCCCCATGGCTCCCACTTCACACTGAGGTGGGGGGAGTGGAGGAGAACCCCACTGCCTTCACATGGAGACCCATTGCCTTCACGTGGGGTCAGAGCTGCAGGATGAGTTGGGCTGCAGATGAGGGAGAAGGGAAAACAAATGCTGCCAGCAGCAGGTGAAGGAAGTGTAGGAGCATTATGTATAATATTAAATTTAATGCTATTCCATTTTCCATCTCAGTTATTAAATTAACTGAGGGCTATGCTTGCACTTAAAAGATTCCTGTCATATTTTATGCAGAAGATGATCTCAGAGTAATTCGTGCTAGAAATATGTCATGTTAAATTACGGATACCAATAAACCTTACTTAAACTCAGCATTGATCATGGGTGGGAGGCAACCCCCAGGGCCGGGCTCCCCTGGGCACCCCTGGGACAGAGCTGGGTGCCACCATCAGTGTGGGTTGCATGAGTGTCACCAGATGTGGGGAAAGGAGAGTTGCTGGGGTCTGACGGGTGGCAGTGAGGGTGATGGGGACCCATTGGTTGTGATACCACTTATCAGTAGGAGACGCCACATCCCATATCAAAGCAGTCTGCCTCTTGTTCGGTATCACCTCGTGTTCATGCCTTTGGGATCAGCTCCACAGCCATGGGCAGCTCCAGCACACAGCAAAGCCCGGCTGCGCTCTCCCATGTGCCTGCCCCACTCCATGCCCTCATGTGATCCGAGGTTTTTCCTCTCCCAAAACAGCCCTCGCCTCTGTGTGGGGAAATCACAAGCTCCAGCTGCCCTGGGGCAGTGCATGGAGTTGAGCTGCTGCCTGGCCTGAATGGGCCGCTTGTTCTCTGCAGCCCTGTGCAGTGCCCAACTCAGCTGTTTGCTCCACAGCCCTGGATGCTCCCCAGTGCTGTCCTGATGGGACAACACCAGGGCTTGAGCCCCCCATGGGAACACACGGCCAGGTTAGCATCACTCCTGCTAACCCAGACCCAGGGCAAAGCCCCTGGGGTTCTTCCAGTGTGTGAGTTACCAAGAGGTGAAGCCCTGCTCCATGCAAGCTGTGCGGTGCTCCATGCACACTCCATGAGCACGTCTGCTGAAGACACCTGTCCTGCTTTGGATGGGATGGGGTTGACATCCTTCATAGCAGCCACTGTGATGCAGCTGTGAACCTCTGCACGTAGAGCTCATGGTTGTTTGGAGCACCATCCTCACTCACAACACCTTCCCAGAGCAACCAGAAGCCATGCTGGGGCTGCTCCCATTATCCCAGCGGCCAAATGGTTGCTGCTGCTGCTGGTCCAGCACTCAGAGCATCCCTGGTGCCAATGCAGCACCATTCCACCCTGCGCATCACAGCACTGATGGGACCCCTACTTTGCACCCTGCAACCCCCGGCGCCGGGCGGTAATTGGGCACAGCAGCACGTGCTGTAGGGCTGCTTTAATCCTGCTCCAGGTGGCTGCAATCCAGTGCAGGATTTACAGTGCCCTGACCCTGAGCTGTCAAGAAGGAACAGCCAGATTAATGGGGTGGGTGGGTTCGTGCAATAATCGTTTGTTTGATGTGACAAGCCTGATAGGCGTTGATTTACTTACAGACTGATAGGCTTTTAATTGAGCACCTCCGTCCCAGTCACATCAAAGGCAGAGGTTGACAAGGGGCCCCTTTTACCAAAAGCTCCCTGTGACTGACAGAGCCTGGATGCTAATTCTCCCGGGGAGGGGTTTCCCTCTTTTTCTCTTCCTTTTTTTTTCTCAGGATCGGCCAGGCCAGGCAAGGAGAAAGCCCTTCCCTTATAGGGGGTATGGAATGGAAGCGAGGATGGGGAGAGTGGGGACAGGAATGAGGATGGAAATGGGGATGGGAATGGGAGCTGGGATGGGGATGGGAGCTGGGATGGGGATGGGAGTGGGGATAGGGATAGGAGTGGGGATAGGGATGGCAATGAGATGGAGATGGTGATGGAGTGGGGATGGTGATAGGACGGGGTGCATGAAGGGTGCCAGCATTGCCCCTCGTGCTTTGTGGGGAGCCCTCACCCATCCCGAGCTCTTGCTCCTCCTGTACCAGAGAGTGGATGAAAGGCAGCTGAAGTGGTGGAGAGGCAAAGGCCAAGTTGTGCTTCCACCATTCACCAGCACAGCTGCTCCACCTGAGCAGGTAGGAGAGCTCACGGGATGCAGTCGCAGCACTGAGAATTTGATGGGCCAGGAGAGGAGCGCAGAGCTCTGCAACCTACCCTGCTCATCATTAATAGGAAAACATCCCAAATGTCCTTCTGACAAGACTTACAGGAGATCCCCATTCAGAAAAGGAGGAATTTAGGAAAGTGGGTCTCAATCACAGCTCTTCGCTGCGGCCCACGGTGCGCAGAGACGCGGAGCCTTTGGGCTGGATTAGCTGCGTGTATTTATGTTTGAAAGCCTGGAGTGTTTTTCAGCATCTAAATATAAATTATTTTTACTGTATCAATGATTAAACATTTTTCTTTGAGATCATAGCGTCCAAACAAATAAATGTTTCTGAAAAGGCATTCAAAAAATTTAAAGGGAGAAAAAAAAATCCCTCTGAGAAACCCTTTTGTCATTTGCAACCAATAAAAATGCCTATTGTTATGAAGGGCTCATAAATAATCTGATTTTGGCATGCTTTAATACCGTACAGAAAATGAATAAATTAAACTTGATTTACAGCCTTTTTCATTTTTATTAGAGCCGCTCCAAACATTTTATGTAACGTACGTGCCAGATGAGCTACACCAAATGGTTTGAGGCTCCGGCACTGATATTATATAAATTAAGTTGTTTTAATTTGCATAGTTTAATTAACTAACACTGGCAAAGAACTAAAGGAAACAGAGGTATGAGTGATGCTGAGGGCTGGACCCACCCGCAGTGGCGGCCCGATGGAACACGGGGAGGGGTGCATCACCCCCAGAGAGCTGTGATGCTGAACGCTGCGGCGGAGGCTCTGCTCAATCCTCACCTCAGCGATGGGGAAACCGAGGCACGAGGAGGCACCGCTCAACCGCCGCGGTGCAAACGGAGGCCGGCTCAACCCACGCTGACACAGCAGCGTTGCACGGGAAGACAAACAGTGAAAGGAGTCCAAAGCGATGTCAAAGTGCCCCGGCGTCAGCCACGCTGTGCGTTTTGATCTGCTGCCCATCCCCGAGCACGGCGCAGCTTTGATAAGTGGGCGACGCTCTCCTCCCCCCTCGCGCCATTCATCCTGCAGAATTTCACACCAGGAAACAGCTTCATTACATCAACAACAGGAAGACCCCACTGATTTGTCGCGGGGAAAAACAGCTGTTAGTCACACATCAAGGGAGCAGGGGGAAAAAAAAACAAAACAAAACAAAACAAAACGAAACAGAAAAAAAAGAATCTCACCTTTTTCCTTTAATGTTGGCGCTGTGCTTTAATGTGAATCGCCCTGCAGAGGAAAGCGGCCACCGGCTCTCCCATAAGTAACCATCACCCAGCAAGCACCAGTTAATATCTGAGCGTCTTCCTGCCTCTCCCGCTACATGATTGCTTTCGAAAGAAAGATTAATTCCAACTTTAAAAAGGAAAACACTATTTTTATCATTGCCAGAAGTCTATATGGGTTTAAAAAAGAAAAAGCGCTCGCTTGTCGTTTTACATCTTGCAATTTTGTCAGTTGTTTTAAAACATGTCTCCTGTAATAAATAAGATCATTTTTATGCGTTTGTTCTGCTGCGATCCGAGCGGCGCGGAGCTGGGGAGCGGCCGTGGGGCCATGGGCACAGTGTGGCTGTTGGCACCGCTTCCATGGGGCCACGGTGGGACCTGGCAAACACCAGAAGTCCGAAAATAGGGAATAAGAGCATCAAAGGCCATGCGATTGTGTTGGTCGTGGAGTGCGTTTTGTGCTCTTGCTGGTACAGGAGAAAAGCAAAAGATCAAAAATAGAGAAGAAGAGCACCAAGGGCTACGCAAGACATTGGCCGTGGTCTGTGCCTGGTGCTCTTACTGGTGGAGCAGAAAACCCAAAAGACCAAACATGGAGAACGAAAGCACCAAGGGCTACACAATGCATCAGCTATGGAGTACATTCTGTGCTCTTACTGGTACAGGAGAAAATCCAAAAGGCCAAAAATAGAGAAGAGCACCAAGGGCTACGCAACACATTGGCCATGGTCTACGCTTGGGGCTTTTACTGGTAGAGCAGAAAACCCAAAAGATCAGAAATAGAGAATGAAAGCACTAAGGGCTACACAACGCATCGGTTGTGGACTACATTTTGTGCTCTTACTGATAGAGCAGAAAACCCAAAAGACCAAACATAGGGAATAAGAGCACTGAGGGCTATGCAATGCGTTGACCATGGCCAATGTCTTGTGCTCTTACAGATATAGCAACAAAACCTCACAAAAATGAGAGTATAAAAGCACCAAGGGCTACACAGTGCATTGGCCATGGTCTGTGTTTTGTGCTCTTTCTGTTATAGGAGCATTATCTTAGTTTGTTAATGCCGTGTTGTTGTTGGAACACAACTTGAATTAGTTTGAGGACAGACTTTTTTTCCTCTTTCCATTGGACTTGAATGGCTCCTTTGAACAGAGGTCTCTCCTCCTGCATCAGTTTTGAGGTCAGCTTTGAGGTGGAAAGAAGAAAAGCCCCCAAAGAGGGGGAAATGACAGCCCAGCACTATCAGTGTTATTGATAGCAGAGGAGAAGCAGCGTCGGGCTGTATCAAGGCCATGCTGGCGATGGTGGACCCAACAGAGCCACTTCCCAAAGTCCAGAGCACACAGCTTTGTGAGAGGCGACCCTGTGGGCTCAGTAATGGCAGCACTGTTGGAACATAAAGCATCTGCCAGGAGGTGGTGTGTTTCATTGCACATCTTTGTTTCTCACCCTGCAGCAGCGACCCTGAAACCAGAGGTGGTTCTGTGCTCCAGCATCACCTCCATGCACCATGAACTCAGTCCCTCCAGTTCCTCTCTCTCAGATGGAACTCATGGGAGGATGCACTGATACTGGGAAATGTTTAAGAGTGTAAATGAAAGAGAGTGGAAAACCAGTGAAAGTGTTGCAGGTTGCAGTGTAAGGAAATGGCACTTTTTGTGGGGTTGGTTCCCCACTGCAGGTGCACCCCAAGGACAGGTGACAGCATGCAACATTCAGTGCCCACATACCCTTTTCCTACAACAGCAGGAAACACTTTGCCACGGCCAAGCGCTGCTGCTGATAAAAGGAGTTTAATGCTGGTGATTACATTATGTGCAAAATAAATATGTACACGTGCAAACCGTGTTGGCAACTCAGGTTCGGGCGACACTGCTGACCTGGCAGCAGCTTCACCGTGTGCTGGGTGTGCACAAGGCAGGGCGCCAGAAGGGTCATCCTGCAGGGACGGGGTGCCAAGCTGTGCCGTGCCACGGCAAGCTGTGCATAGCTGAGCTGTGCTGTGGCTGCTAAGCTGTGCCGTGCCATGATAAACCGTGCCAGCCAAGCCAAGCCATGCCATGATAAACCTCACCGGCTGAGCCACGCCATGCCGTTCTGAGCTGTGCCAGCAGCACCGTGCTAAGCCCTGCGAGCCGAGCCGAGCCATGCCGAGCCGTGCCATGCTTTGCCAAGCCACGCTGTGCCGTATTAATCCGTGCGATGCCGAACCGAGCCGAGCCGCGCCGAGCTGCGCTGCGCTGCGCTGTGCCGGCGGCCGCTCTCCCCCACGCGGCGGCGCGGCGGCGGCGCGGCGGCGGCGCTTCGCCCCCCCCACCGGCGCTCTCCCCGCCCCGGGGGCCCGGCCGGGCGCGGATTGGTGCGCGGCGCCGGCCCCCTCGGAGCGCGGCCGCCATCGGGGCTATTTGACGTGTCGGTCGGGAAGGGGAAGGGTTTTGTCTCGCCGGGGCCGCCGCCGCCGCCGCTCCGCCGCCCGCCCGGCCCGGCCCGGCCCCGCGGAGCCCGGCGCGCCGCCCGCCGCCGCCGCCCGCCCCAAATGAGCGGTGCCCCCGGCGGGCCCCGGCCGAGGACCCCGCCGAGCCGCGGAGCCGCGGGCGCCCCGTCGCCCCGGCCGCCCCCCGCCGACCCGCTGCGCCAGGCCAGCCGGCTGCCCATCCGCGTCCTGAAGATGCTCAGCGCCCACAGCGGCCACCTCCTGCACCCCGAATACCTCCAGCCGCTCTCCTCCACGCCCGTCAGCCCCATCGAGGTCAGTGCTCCCCCCTTTCCCTCCCCGATCCTTTTCCCTTCCCGTCCCCGCGCTCTGGCTCGCCGCCCGCTGGCCCCGGGGTGGGACGTGAGACGTGGGATGGGGTTGGGATGGGGTTGGGGTGGGGGGGGGGGGCCGGACCGGGGGGTGCCGTCGGGTCCCCCCCTGACCGGCGCCGCGCTCCGCTCCGCCCGCAGCTGGACGCCAAGAAGAGCCCTCTGGCGCTGCTGGCCCAGACCTGCTCGCAGATCGGCAAACCCGACCCTCCGCCCTCCTCCAAGCTGAACGCCGTCGCCTCCGCCGGGCTGCCCGCCGCCGACAAGGAGCCCTCCGCCCGCCCCGCCGCGCTCAAACCGCCGGGCGGCAGCGGGGACGCTCCGCCCGAGGACAAGTCCAGCTTCAAGCCCTACTCCAAGGGCGGGGAGCCGCGCAAGGAGGGCCCGGACAAGGCCGGCTTCCGCGTGCCCAGCGCCGCCTGCCCGCCGTTCCCCCCGCACAGCGCCGCATCCCCGGGCGGCTCCCGCGGCGCGTCCCCGCAGCACGCCGAGCCCAAGGGCGCCGACGACAAGAAGGAGCCCGAGGCGGGCAAGCCCGGCCCCGACGGGGCGAGCGGGGCTTTGGGGCGCGGGGCGGCGGCGGAGTCCGGGGCGCACGGCGAACCCCCCTCATCGGGCCGCAAATCGGAGCCCCCAGCGCTGCCGCCCGCCGCCGGCCATGTGGCCCCCGTGTCTCCTTACAAGCCGGGCCACTCCGTCTTCCCGCTGCCGCCTTCCAGCATCGGTTACCACGGCTCCATCGTGGGCGCCTACGCCGGGTACCCCTCGCAGTTCGTGCCCGGGTTGGACCCCAGCAAAGCGGGGCTGGTTGGCAGCCAGCTGCCCGGGGCGCTGGGGCTGCCGGGGAAGCCGCCCAGCTCCAGCCCGCTGACCGGGGCCTCGCCGCCCTCCTTCATGCAGGGATTATGCCGGGACCCGTACTGCCTGAGCTACCACAGCGCCTCGCACCTGGGCTCCGGCAACTGCTCCAGCTGCGTGCACGACGCCGGCAGCCTGAAGAGCGGATACCCCCTGGTGTACCCCGCGCACCCCCTGCATTCGGTGCACACCACGCTCTCCTCCGGCGGCACCCCCAGCCTGCCCGGCCACCCCCTCTACACCTACGGCTTCATGCTGCAGAACGACCCCCTGCCCCACATATGCAATTGGGTGTCTGCCAGCGGACCCTGCGATAAGAGGTTTGCCACCTCGGAGGAGCTGCTCACCCACCTACGGACCCACACGGCGCTGCCGGGCGCGGAGAAACTCTTGGCCGGTTATCCCACGTCTGGGTTGGGTTCGGCCGCTTCCTGCCACCTCCACCTCCCGCCCGCCGCCCCCGGCAGCCCCAGCACGTTACCGGCCTCCCTGTCCTTGAGGAGCCCACACACTTTGGGACTCAACAGGTATCACCCGTACGGCAAGAGCCATTTGCCCGCAGCCGGAGCTCTCCCCGTGCCGTCGTTGCCGGCTGCCGGACCTTACTACTCCCCCTACGCTCTCTATGGCCAAAGACTGACTTCAGCTTCTGCACTGGGATATCAGTAACCACGGCGGCCACTTCCCCTCGCCGAGCCCCCTCCCCCCTTCCCTCCCGATCCTCCCCCTCGGCTCCCTCCTTGGAACTGTGTATTTATTTACTGTATGTTAGCTTAAAGCTGGGAATATAAGTGCATTAATACACCAATGAATCGATGGTATGCAAAAAAGTCTGTGTCCAAAAAAGAAAAAAAGAAAAAAAAAAAAAAAAAAAGAAAGAAAAGAAAAAAAAAAGAAAAAATCTTTTCTTTGCAGGTGTGGGGCTTTGGTTTTTTTTTTCGTTGTTGGTTTGTTTTTTTTTCCCCTGTTATTTCTTTTAATTGATTTTTTTTTTTTTTTTCCTTCCCCCCCCTTCTTCGTTTTCCCCCTGAGAAATTCTTGCATGACTCCCAACGCATACAGGAACAAAAAGACAAAAAAAAAAATTCAACCACGTTTCTTCCTCCTCCTCCTCCTCTTCCTCCCCCCCACCTCATTTATCGTTCTGGGATTCAGTTTCTCTTCCTCTGTGAAGTTAACAGACGTCCATTTTTTAATTATTATTGTTCTGATTTTTTTTTTTTTATTTTTTATTTTTTTGCCAATGCGTTTTGGGGCTGCGGATGGAGCGGCCCCCGCCCCGCGGCTCTCGCCCGGCCCTTCCGCGGGGACGAATCCCATTTTCTCCCCCTTATCCTTTCTCCTCCTCCTCCTCCTCCCCTCGGGGCTGCGGGCTTCCACCCCGACGGCGGCGGCGGCCCCACGGACGGAACGGCGGCGGTGGCGGCGGCGGGCGCGGGGCCGCCCGGCCGGGAGGGCTGCGAGCATTGCGGGTGACTTAAGAGCTGCGGCTTGGTAAGTCTTATTTTGTTAATAAATGAATACTTGGTTATATTCACCCTGTGGTGTGGTTTCTCTTCCCCTCGACCCCGCGGCTTTGTCCGTTCGCCCGGTGGTGCGGGATGCGATGCGGGATGCGGGCTCCATCTAGCGGCGCGGGGCTGCGGGCGGTGCGGGGTTCGGGGCGATCCCGGTAAGGAGCGGTGCGGGATCGCGCGTGGATGTGTTGCGGGGGGAACGGGGGGGTTGTGCTGGGTTTGTCCGTGCGTGGAGGAGAGAGGGAAGGTTCGAGAATTGGTGCGAGGATCCCCGGTGTCCCTGTCCCTCCCCCCCCCCGCAGCTGCATCCCCATAGGAATTCAGGCTTAGGGACCCCCTCCCCACCGCCATCCCCACACAGGATGAGCTGTGCCCCCCCCCCCCCCCACGTTTCGTCATTCCCACCCACCTCTATGGGCCGGGGGCTGCTCTGCTGAGCCCACCCCACACCAACACCTGTGCCAAACGCTGCTCCCTGCACAGCCCCACTGCTCCCATTGCCCCACATGGCTTTTCCTTTTTTTTTTTTTCCCCTGCTGTTGAGTGCTTTGCTCCTGTTGCATTTTTTCGGGTGAGTCATGCAATTAATCCCAGTTAATTGCCTGCTCTCTATTGCCTTATGCCCCGCGTTTAAATTCCTTTGTGTCTTTTGAGCTGAAAAATAATGCGCTTAAAACAGAGACTTGTTTGGCCAATGGGGTTTTTATTTTTCCTTCCAGTGAGCAGCCAGGGGCCGGGTGATGGCTGGAGCTCCCCAATGCATATAGGGCAGGTGGGGGTCCAGCTGTCCCGTGGCTGTCAGACCCCAGTTTTGGGGTCTGCAGTGAATCTGGCCCAGGTCTGGTCGGTGTTGGTAGCATGAAGGCCTGGCTGCTGCAGGATGGGGTTTGCTCCTTGCTCTGCCTGGGATGCCAGGCCCGGTGCCACCCATCCCCACATCCTTGCTGAGTGCCAACCCTGTGGGCATTGCAGCAGCTGCGACCTTTGGTGCTGGGCATTGCAGGGCGGCGGGCAGCGGTGGTGTAAATCATGGCATAGATCACCGCTCCTCCACTGCGGCTTTGAAATCCCACACAGGTCGCTGCTGTGGGCGTTTTGCTCCCCTGTGCTTTGAGGTGTCATCACTGCGTGCTCTCTGTGCTCCATGGCTGCTGTGCCCACAGTGCATGGGATGCCTGCGGGCTGTCGGGGTGCTCCATGCCAGCTCTGGTCAGCCCTGCTCTGCAGAAGGGTCTCTGCCTCTCAATTCTCTCTGAACCCCCCTGGAGTTTTTCTTGCTACAGAACTGAGCCATGCCTTCTCTGCACCTCCGGTGCTGCTCCAATGCATCCCATAATGCTGACAGCTCCTTGGGGAACTGCTTTTCCCCTCCCTAAAGACTGCAGTACCGGGGCAGGCATGTGTAAACACTGCCAAGTATCATCTGATAGCAATTGACACTCAGGGCTTTATCTGCAGGGAAATGAGCGCGTTGCCGAGATATTAAATAACTCCCCACCTATCGCCTGCCCAGGTACTGCAGAATTCATTTTATAATCAGAGCACTGGGATGCACTTTATTAATCATTCTGTCTAACATCCCGCACTCCACAGTTTCGGTTTAGATTTGATTCAATCCTGTCTTTCTGCAAAATATGTGGCTGAGTGGGTCGGGTAATGTATGGCTTAATTTAGAGTTGTATGGGTTTGAATTACCATTTTCATCACGTGCCGAGCATGAATGTGTTGCATCGTTTATAGAGAGAAAGGCACGAGGTTTCCAACCTCTCCGGGAATTCACCTGGAGGGAAAGAGGGACCAGAAAGGGCCTTTCAGAGCAGGCAGGGAGCGCCGGGCTGGGGCAGCGCAGGTGGGTGTTGGGCCACAGAAGGGTGTGCTGGAAGCTGTGCTGGCAGCAAACGGAGCTCAGCATTGCATAACAACAACTTTTCCAGCGAGCCCTGAATTGCAGGAGACCTCCAGCGGTTGACTCTCAGGTGACCCCGATCCCCACGGCCGGCTCTAATAACACCAGCTGTCAGTTAGCCCGGCTCCGACCGGGGAGGAAAAAGCACTGATTATCCAAATACAGTCATTAAAGGGGAAATGTGTTTTTAGGACTGTCAGAGTGATTAATGAGGGTTAGCAATCCTTGCAAATGCACTTGTTTAGTCTAACTGGCAGCCTCTATTTTCCTATTGATTTATTGCAGCGGTTGCTGAGGCCGCGGTGTGTGGAAGCAGTCGGACGCTCCGCGCTGTGCGGAACGCACACGGGTTCCTCCATGCAGGGTGAAGGCTCTGCCCCAAACCCAACAAAGGCAGCACTGTACCTCATGCCGGGGTTGGGACGGCCCAGGAGCGCATGCACTGCACTCAGCCATCCTGCATTCCTCGTCGGTATCCCACCGGTACGGCCCGAAGCATCCCTGCATCCAGCAGAACGCGAGCTGCGTCGGTTCGGATGGGAACCTCGCACAAAGCTCTGGGAAGCAAAGTCTTGCAGGGTTGAGGCCGAGGGCTCCGGTCGGGCTGCTGAGCTGTGGTGGGTGGATGAGAAGCTTCCCAGCTGCACAAAGCGGCTTTTCTTTCCCCCGGTGGACGCCCCGGATAATACAGGCTCTGTGCTCCGTGCCCGCGGCTCCGCTCCAGGGGTGCTCGGCGTGGAGAAACAGGGAGGAGGGCTCAGGAAGACGGCTGTGGTTTGTCCCCCAGCAGGGCTGATAGCAGCGTGTGGGCAGGAGCAAGGAGCGAGGGCTTTGGATACCCCGAAACAAAGGGTGCCCACAGTGCGGAGAGCTGCATGCAGGAGAAGGCTTTGAGTGACTTCCCGTGGCTGCCGCGGCCAAAGCCACAGTGGGCCAACGTGTGGATGCAATGGGCCTGCAGACACCTTCCCTGCAGCAGGACAGAGAGGTTCTTGCTGGTTGCAGCGTGGCAGCGAATTGGGCACAGCGTGCAGCTGCTGCTCCTCCCTGCAGCACCCGGCACAGCCATGGAGCCCTGCAGCCATTGCCCCGCATCCATCGCCCGCTCAGATCTGCGCCGGGCTGTGCTGGTGATGCTGTTGGTTACGGTGATGCATGGTTAATAGTTATCTCTCTGTTTATTATCATGATGAATAACTGAAGAGTCGTAATTCTGTATATACACAAATGTTTCAGCTAAACGCTCGCTGGAGGACGCTGGGGGAGACGCTGGGCTGACAGCTTCGTTTACAGAGTGTATTCCTTCAGCTCCATTCGCAATAACAAACAGATTTCCACAGACCATAATGTTTTCCAATGCGGTGTTTATGGAAGCCGTGTGCCATGACTTCACTCCATGGTGTTGCGATGGGGGAAGGCAGCCTCGGTGTGGATGGACAGATGTGGCCGTGGGCACCCAGGGAACCCAACCGACTCGATGCTGTGTGTTTGCAGCCCCAGCACCTCCATGGAGCCCTCCTGGACCCCCACCCAGCACTGCACTGCAGGGAGGTGCCGGAGCACAGCAAAGAGGAGAGGGGGACGAAGACGTTTTGGGATGCTTTCTGGATGAGTTTCAGCCTTCTCTGTTGCTCCTCTCCTTTGGGAAGAGAAGAAAGGAGATGGGAGTGTGTGAGATTTGCTGTGCTGTTCCTTCCTGGCGTGTTTGCTCGCTGCGAGCCAGAGCTGCTGTGCTCCTCTCCTGCCTTCCCTGAGCAGAGCATGGGGACAGGACCCTGTCTGGCACCAACACGTGAGGACACTCAGCCGTCCCATGTCCTTGTGCTGGGATGGGGCTGATGCCTGCAGAGCTGGCTGCGAACCCAGCACCTGGGAGCTCCGCTGGGCAGCTCTCCTGCAGAAGTGACGAATTGTTTCTGCCGGAGCAATTGTTACCTCCACGGGGTTTCTGTTCCAGCTCAACACAGCCCCAGTGACGTCCGTGGGTGCGGAGGAACAGCAGCCAGGCCTGACTTCCAAGGTGGAACAAGTCGTTTTGTGTGGAAAATGTCTCTGACATGAAGCGCAGCGCTTGCTCCGAGGCGCTGAGACGCAGGCATGGAGCTGCCTGGTGTTGGTGAGAAAATGATCGCTCAGCCCAGCCCGACAACAAAACCTCTCAATGCACCGGGGTGGGGTGGGAGCAGGAATGGAGCACCAAGGAATGGAGCTGAGAAAAGACCTCTGTGCCCACCGGTGTTTGTGCTCATTTCCCAGACTGTGGCTGAATTTCAGATTTGGAATGACTGCTCGGGCAGCAGCAGCAGCTCCTCCAGCTGCAGGAACGCGTCGGGCCCTCTGTGGCTGTGTTATGGCTCCCAAACCTGTGCAGCGTGGGCACGGAGCAGCCCTGCTGTATGCCTGGAGAGCAAGGAGCAAACGTGGGCTGGGTTCAGCAGCACTTTTCCTGGGAAGAGCTACGAGAAGAGCTCAGGGTTCCCAGGAGCCCCAGCATCACGTTGCTTCACCCTCTGCAGGAGGAAAGCTCGCAGCCCTTCGTGCTATGGGGGAAGATCCCGTAGCACTTGGACCCAGTGTGTTATTTCTGGGCTCTGACTCACGCTGCTGGAACGATTCGAGGTTTGCATGCAGCGAGCATTGCTCTCACAGGGGGTGTGGAGAGAGCTGGGGGGATGGAGCCCGCGGTTGATTTACGAGGGGTGCTCAGTTTGTAGGGATGCTCAGAGCCGCAGTGCAGCAGGAAGGGGTTCAGGAGCCCCCAGGTTTGCAGCTCACATCTCACTCTGCTGCCCTTCCATTGCACCCGGTGCAGTGCAGTGATATGTCAGAGGGGCAGAGGCGCAGGGAGCTCAGCCCTACGGGTGCCATCAGCATCTTGCATCCCAGCCGGGGGTCCCGTGCTCACCCCTCTCCCCTGCCCGCCGTGCTTTTATCTCTTCTGTAGGTACCAATGGAGCCGTCAGCCCGTGGTATGACAGGTTGCGGGAGCCGGGGCCCCTCGAACAGAGCAGCCTTGTCTGTCAGAGCCGCCTGACACTCCCCATAATGGCCAGATGGATGAGACTCTGAAAGTAGGACCCGGCGCGTTTTCAACTCTATTTTGGGTGAAAACACTTCTTGAAAGATCTTGAAAGGAGCTGGCAGTTGAGGAGTTCCAATGATTAATGAGTGCTGGCTCTGCTGGGCGGGTTGCTCGCGCCGTGCCAGCAGCCGCGCTGCTCCAGCAGCCCCAACCCCATCCCCCCCCCCCCCAAAACCCCATCGGCTCTCCCGGAAATGACACCAACACGACAGGGCCAGCATATGGAAAAAGTTAAATATAAATTACTGCTGAAAGAGGCCTAGCCGAGCGGAGTTAGTTAAAGATGTTTATGGATTCAGAAACACGGGCCTGCATATGTATTTAGAGATGACAAATGTGATTCAATAAGTAAAGAATTTCTCTGTGGGCTGAGGCTCGGGCGCTGGGGGGGCTCCCGGCCGTAAATCTGGGGACAGCCTCCTCCTTCCTTCTCCTTTTAGCTTTTTCCAGGATCAGAGCAAAGCGCTGCCTCTGCTCCCGCATCCGTGTTCCCTGTCCTGCACCCCTGCTTCTTTCCTCTTTTATAGGTTTTCACCCCAAAACGGTTCTTGCTACCATGGCACGAAGGCTGCAGGATGCCCCCCTATTCCCACGCGCTCCCGCAGACCCAAAGTGCTGGCAGAGCTCAGAGCAACACTGTAGGGTGGGGAGGGGGCTCCAATGGGGACCCCCAGCTGGGTGAACCCAGCGCCGATCCCTGCGCCCCTGCTGGACCACGCTCTTGCAGCCGGACCCTGCAGGACTGTCAGCAAATGATTAATGACCAACAGCCCCCAAGCTGGCCCTACCAGGAGCCTGTGCCCCGTGCTTCATGCATGCTTTGCAAGTTGCTGCATGCACGCTCAGCCTCACAGAGCACGGCACGCTCAGCCCAAAGCAGGGACCCCCACAAAGCCCCAAGAGAGTCCAGCACCCAGAGGAGGGCTGTGCAGGACATGGGCTGTCTCCCCATGCCTTCCCCCCCCCACCTCCCCTATGTCTCCCCACTGCTTTTTGGGGGTCAGCGCTCGGCCGGACTGTTGACCTCCAGCCACATTCCTTTGTCCTGATTTGATTCGTTAGCAGCGTTTGGCTGGGACACAGAGACAGCTAATGAGGGACTGAGTTTATTGCAGTTTGATTTTTCTGTTAAAACAATACAATAAAATAAATGCGCTTGGAAATCTGGTATGTGTTTGTACATAGGAGATTTATGGCTCTGGAGGCTTCCAGAGAGACGCAGCCTTTCATTCCCTTCCTTATTGGAACAGATCATATTGCAGGGTTTAAAGGGCTCTGGAGCTGTGATTTATTTGAAGGGAGAAACCAGGGAAATCCAACTATCTGTTCCCTGGCTCAGATCATCCAGCGACTCCCGGCCAAGGGAATGGATCTGCACCTCCTCCACGGAGCATTATTTTTTTCCTCCTGTCACTCGCCTTCTCCCACTCTAAATATATCACCGAGACGCTGCTGACTCCTGACCTGGGCTTCAGCACCTCGCCGAGGCTTCCCCAGCCCTTCCCGGAATCCCACAAATAAATCAGTGTCCTGGAGCCCTTCCTGAGCACCTCTGATGGCCAGGATGGGGCTGCGTGTGGCTCTGCCTCAATCCAGAGCCACTCCTGCTTCCATCCCCAGGATGGAGCCATGGATCTGCGCCACTCGCTGTCCCCCCACTGTCCCCATATTTCCCACCCAGTGTCCCCCAGTTCCACCCAATGCCACCCTGGTATCTTCCAGTGTCTCCCTGGGCAGAATGAAGCTGTTCCTCTGTGCCAAAAATTGTTTGCTGGCTCCCTTTTTTTCTTAAACAATTGCATTTGCAGGCAGGATATCTGCTGGGTTTTGGTGCAAACCCCCTCGTGCTTCTCCATTCTACCTCAGGGACTTTGGGGAATGAGCACTTTGGATCCCATTCCCAATGCAGGGGCTTTTCTGCCCCTTTTTGAGGTCCTGCAGCCAGGATTACCCTCTCTTCCCCACGACACTCTGCTGCTGCAGTTGCAGGGATGATCCATGTGCCATTCTCATGCGTGTTCACGCTAAATCTCCTTTCTCTCCCGGGCTGAGCTGTGGTTTCCAAGAACCATTCATCATTTCCCTTTAGAAACCAGCACCGGGGGGCTGGACACATGGCTCCTTTATGCTCTGGAAGGGTGACCTGGCACTCTGGCACCCAGCCACAGCACTGGCGTCTGCAGGGCGAGCTCTGCCCCCAGCACAGCCCCCCCAGGCCAGCCCTAAACTGCAGCACATGAGATGGGGGGACGCTCCCTCGGGCTGGGAAGCAGAGCTTGGTCTCTCCATGCCCCTATGCTGGTGTCCTATGGAACGAAGATCCCTGTGCCTATGGCCCAACAGCAGGGCTTGGACAGGCAGCGAGTCAAAGAAAACTTTTCCTGACGTGATTGCAGCGTGTGTAAATAGGTGCATCGAGCACATGTGAGCAGTTTCCTCGTTTCCAGCTCAGGACTGTCAGGGGATGATTAATGGCCAACGCCAGAGAGCTGCCTTGATTGCCAAGTGCTGTATTGTTAGCACTGACATGTAACGAGCCCGGACATACTTTAACACAATTCTGCACTGTAATCTGTAAATAACGTTCGATAGACTTAATTTGTTAAGTATTTCTCCCCCCTCCCCCTGCCCCCTCCCCTCCCCCCCCCATGCCTTCTCTCTTCCCACTTTCCCTTTCAAAACCTTGGAAAGTGGATGGAAAGCCCCACACCATCCCACAGCCCAGCAGGGATGGCATGGCATGGGGATGGGATGGAGATGGATGTGTGAACGGGATGGGATGGGATAGGATGGGATGGGGATGGGATGGGGATGGGGATAGGGACAGGAATGGGGTCTAAACAAATGTGATCTTTCCACCCCACTGCTCCCCACACGGCTGCACATGAGGTAACCTTAAACGTCGAAGCAGGAACCACGGGGACAGAGTTTTTCCACCTCTATTCACAACTGTCAGGCAGTGATTAATGGCCAACAGGCTCGAAATTGCCTTTATTGCCAGCTTGGTATTGTTACTTGTGACAGTTAATGAGGTTGGACAGACTTTTACGCAGCAATCACAGTGGGTCTCAGCCTCCCTCCTGCTGGGCTGGTGCCGCCAGCACTGGGACCATCCTGGCTGCCCCATTCCGTGCTGTCCTGCCCTGTCCTGTCCCATTCCATCTTGTCCTGGTGCAAGGCAGCAGGTGGCAGGGGCTGAAGGTGACGATGCTGACAGGACTGTCTCAAAGACCTTCAGACTCCTCTCGGTTTTTGCAGTAAAATCCCCAGCAGATTTTCACTTCTGTGGGATAAGGAGGAATGGGCAGAGCTGAAAAGGCTTGGAGTGTGGGTGCAGTGAAGCATTTGTTGGTGTTGTAAAAGTGTCTGTGCTGCTGGGGCAGACACTGCTGAATGTTCCTGGCCTGAGGTGGAGGAGTAATGATTTTTTTGGCTTTTTTTTTTTTTTTTTTTTCCAGGATTATTACAAATAATATTTACCTTTGTGCTCGCTCACATCTTGATGCTGTTAAACACGTGGCCGCAGCTGGTTTCCTATTCTGGGCAATGATATAGTGCCCATGTTATGCAGCAAAGCCTCTCCTGCGAGCCAGAACACCCCACATTTAAACATCTATTACTTTGCAATATTATATGAGTGCATTTTGCTTCAGCTCGGAGCAATTTCCTAGTTTACTCTTATTAAACTGAGCGGGGCTGAGCAGAGGCTTGTGATTTATGAAACACATACGAGATTCATTAAAACCTTTAAAGATTTAATACATTTTATCAGGGCCTTAAATCTGGGCAAGCATTTTTTAAAAATCTTATGGAGAGAGTATTTCATCTCGGGCGCCTTTTGCACTTATTTAAGAGCTGTAACATTTGGACAGATAGAGCAGATACTTCACTATTTCTGAACAGCACCGAACCCTTCTGACAGCTTTGCGATATATAACCCTGGGAGATCTATCAATATAAGAATGAAATTAGACTATTTATTGGCACTTTACGATCCCTCTATGTTTTTAAGCCCCCTTCAACAGTTATAGAGGTGGGAATGTAATGCGTTTCCTCACTCTGGATGGCTGAGAGTCCCCGCAGTGGGAGCAGAGTGCTGATTGCTGGGCAGAAGGGGTGACGTGGGCTGGTAGTGGGGTGCAAACCCTTTCGGGTGACCTTGAGGCGGCCTTGGGGTGACTTTGGGGTGACTTTGGGGTTTGGTGCCTTCCCCAGCACAGTGGGCAACAAATGGTGATCCCGCATGAGAGCAGCGGCTCAGTTCATGTGAGAACCTCCTGCAGAGTGGCTCCCTGGACACGAGGTTCACATGGGGTGGGACACAGCCCCGTGTCTTCCACCAGGACCTCGCTCGGCAGCGGGGCTGCGGGGCCGAGGACCCGCTCGGTGCGTGTTAGCGCGGGCGGGATTCGAACCCACAACCCTGAGGACTCCGTTCCTCCGCCGCCCTCTGGCGGTGCGCTGCGGCGTCGCGCATTAGTGACGTCACAGCTGCGCCGTTGCGGGAAGGCGGGCGCAGCGCCGCGTCGTGCTGAGGCCGGGCATGGCCCAGCTGGGCGCCATCGCCGCTCTCGTCCTCAGCTTCCTCGCCGCCGCCTTCCTCTCCGCCATCCATAAGATCGAGGAAGGTCACATCGGAGTCTACTACCGGTGAGCGGCCTCCGCGCCTTCCCTTCTCTCATCCCCGGGCCGGGCCTGCGCTCACGGTCGCTGTTCGTTTCTCCCCGCAGCGGCGGCGCGTTGCTGACCTCCACCAGCGGGCCGGGTTTTCACCTCATGCTGCCCTTCATCACGTCCTACAAGTCAGTGCAGGTGCTGTGGGGCTGGGCTGGGCTGCGTGCCGCCCCGGGTTGCGGGGTTGGGGGTGAGATGCGGGCCCGCGGCGGTGCGGTGAGGAGCTGCTCTCGAAGGAACGTTTCTTCCGTCGTTTTCAGACCACGCTGCAGACCGATGAGGTGAAAAACGTTCCGTGCGGTACGAGGTGAGGTGCTCGGCTCTCATTCCCCGCGGTTCTCCGGTTTTTATGAACGCCTTTTTCATCCCTTTTCCTCCCCCTCCTCCTCCCCCCGTGCTTTAGCACACCTGCTGTGCTTTCGCTTTGTGTTTCTCCC